ATGCAGCACTAATGCAGGACTAATGCAGCACTAATGCAGGACTAATGCAGCACTAATGCAGGACTAATGCAGCACTAATGCAGGACTAATAGAGGACTAATGCAGCACTAATGCAGCACTAATACAGGACTAATGCAGGACTAATGCAGCACTAATGCAGGACTAATGCAGCACTAACCTGCAGCACTAATGCAGGACTAATGCAGCGCTAATGCAGGACTAATGCAGTACTAACGCATCACTAATGCAGGACTAATGCAACACTAATGCAGGACTAATGCAGCGCTCACCTGCAGCACTAATGCAGGACTAATGCAGCACTAATGCAGGACTAATGCAGGACTAATGCAACACTAATGCAGGATTAATGCAGCACTAATTCAGGACTAATGCAGCGCTCACCTGCAGCACTAATGCAGGACTAATGCAGCACTAATGCAGGACTAATGCAGCGCTTACCTGCAGCACTAATGCAGGACTAATGCAGCACTAATGCAGGACTAATGCAGCACTAATGCAGGACTAATGCAACACTAATGCAGGATTAATGCAGCACTAATTCAGGACTAATGCAGCGCTCACCTGCAGCACTAATGCAGGACTAATGCAGTGCTCACCTGCAGCACTAATGCAGGACTAATGCAGCGCTCACCTGCAGCACTAATGCAGGACTAATGCAGCACTAATGCGGGACTAATGCAGTGCTCACCTGCAGCACTAATGCAGCACTAATGCAGGACTAATGCAGCGCTCACCTGCAGCACTAATGCAGGACTAATGCAGCACTAATGCAGGACTAATGTAGAACTAATGTAGAACTAATGCAGGACTAACGCAGCACTAATGCAGGACTAATGCAGCGCTAATGCAGGACTAATGCAGTACTAACGCATCACTAATGCAGGACTAATGCAGCGCTCACCTGCAGCACTAATGCAGGACTAATGCAGCACTAATGCAGGACTAATGCAGCACTAATGCAGGACTAATGCAACACTAATGCAGGACTAATGCAGCACTCACCTGCAGCACTAACGCAGGACTAATGCAGCGCTCACCTGCAGCACTAATGCAGGACTAATGCAGCGCTCACGTGCAGCTCTAATGCAGCACTAATGCGGGACTAATGCAGTGCTCACCTGCAGCACTAATGTAGCACTAATGCAGGACTAATGCAGCGCTCACCTGCAGCACTAATGCAGGACTAATGCAGCACTAATGCAGCACTAATGTAGAACTAATGTAGAACTAATGCAGGACTAATGCAGCACTAATGCAGCGTTCATCTGCAGCACTAATCCAGCGTTCATCTGCAGCACTAATGCAGCGTTCATCTGCAGCACTAATGCAGCGTTCATCTGCAGCACTATTGCAGGACTAATGCAGGACTAATGCAGCACTCACCTGCAGGACTAATGCAGCACTCACCTGCAGCACTAATGCAGTGCTCACCTGCAGCACTAATGCAGAGTTCATCTGCAGCACTAATGCAGAGTTCATCTGCAGCACTAATGCAGAGTTCATCTGCAGAACTAATGCAGGACTAATGCAGCGTTCATCTGCAGCACTAATGCAGGAATAATGCAGCACTAATGCGGCGTTCATCTGCAGCACTAATGCAGGACTAATGCAGCGTTCATCTGCAGCACTAATGCAGGACTAATGCAGCACTAATGTAGCGTTCATCTGCAGCACTAATGCAGCGTTCATCTGCAGCACTAATGCAGTACTATTGCAGGACTAATGCAGCGCTCATCTGCAGCACTAATGCAGCACTATTGCAGGACTAATGCAGCTCTCACCTGCAGCACTAATGCAGCACTAATGCAGCGTTCATCTGCAGCACTAATGCAGGACTAATGCAGGGTTCATCTGCAGCACTAATGCAGCACTAATGTAGCGTTCATCTGCAGCACTAATGCAGCATTCATCTGCAGCACTATTGCAGGACTAATGCAGCACTAATGTAGCGTTCATCTGCAGCACTAATGCAGCACTATTGCAGCACTAATGCAGCGCTCACCCGCAGCACTGATGCAGCACTAATGCAGCACTAATGCAGCGTTCATCTGCAGCACTATTGCAGTACTAATGCAGCGCTCACCTGCAGCACTAATGCAGCACTATTGCAGGACAAATGCAGTGCTCACCTGCAGCACTAATGCAACGTTCATCTGCAGCACTAATGCAGCACTAATTCAGGACTAATGCAGGACTAATGCAGTATTCATCTGCAGCACTAATGCAGCACTAATGCAGGACTAATGCAGCACTAATGCAGGACTAATGCAGGACTAATGCAGGACTAATGCAACACTAATGCAGGATTAATGCAGCACTAATTCAGGACTAATGCAGCGCTCACCTGCAGCACTAATGCAGGACTAATGCAGCACTAATGCAGGACTAATGCAGCACTAATGCAGGACTAATGCAACACTAATGCAGGATTAATGCAGCACTAATTCAGGACTAATGCAGCGCTCACCTGCAGCACTAATGCAGGACTAATGCAGCACTAATGCAGGACTAATGCAGTGCTCACCTGCAGCACTAATGCAGGACTAATGCAGCGCTCACCTGCAGCACTAATGCAGGACTAATGCAGCACTAATGCGGGACTAATGCAGCGCTCACCTGCAGCACTAATGCAGGACTAATGCAGCACTAATGCAGCACTAATGTAGAACTAATGCAGGACTAACGCAGCACTAATGCAGCGCTAATGCAGGACTAATGCAGTACTAACGCATCACTAATGCAGGACTAATGCAGCGCTCACCTGCAGCACTAATGCAGGACTAATGCAGCACTAATGCAACACTAATGCAGGACTAATGCAGCACTCACCTGCAGCACTAATGCAGGATTAATGCAGCACTAATGCAGGACTAATGCAGCACTAATGCAGGACTAATGCAGGACTAATGCAGCGCTAATGCAGGACTAATGCAGTACTAACGCATCACTAATGCAGGACTAATGCAGCGCTCACCTGCAGCACTAATGCAGGACTAATGCAGCACTAATGCAGGACTAATGCAGCACTAATGCAGGACTAATGCAACACTAATGCAGGACTAATGCAGCACTCACCTGCAGCACTAACGCAGGACTAATGCAGCGCTCACCTGCAGCACTAATGCAGGACTAATGCAGCGCTCACGTGCAGCTCTAATGCAGCACTAATGCGGGACTAATGCAGTGCTCACCTGCAGCACTAATGTAGCACTAATGCAGGACTAATGCAGCGCTCACCTGCAGCACTAATGCAGGACTAATGCAGCACTAATGCAGCACTAATGTAGAACTAATGTAGAACTAATGCAGGACTAATGCAGCACTAATGCAGCGTTCATCTGCAGCACTAATCCAGCGTTCATCTGCAGCACTAATGCAGCGTTCATCTGCAGCACTAATGCAGCGTTCATCTGCAGCACTATTGCAGGACTAATGCAGGACTAATGCAGCACTCACCTGCAGGACTAATGCAGCACTCACCTGCAGCACTAATGCAGTGCTCACCTGCAGCACTAATGCAGAGTTCATCTGCAGCACTAATGCAGAGTTCATCTGCAGCACTAATGCAGAGTTCATCTGCAGAACTAATGCAGGACTAATGCAGCGTTCATCTGCAGCACTAATGCAGGAATAATGCAGCACTAATGCGGCGTTCATCTGCAGCACTAATGCAGGACTAATGCAGCGTTCATCTGCAGCACTAATGCAGGACTAATGCAGCACTAATGTAGCGTTCATCTGCAGCACTAATGCAGCGTTCATCTGCAGCACTAATGCAGTACTATTGCAGGACTAATGCAGCGCTCATCTGCAGCACTAATGCAGCACTATTGCAGGACTAATGCAGCTCTCACCTGCAGCACTAATGCAGCACTAATGCAGCGTTCATCTGCAGCACTAATGCAGGACTAATGCAGGGTTCATCTGCAGCACTAATGCAGCACTAATGTAGCGTTCATCTGCAGCACTAATGCAGCATTCATCTGCAGCACTATTGCAGGACTAATGCAGCACTAATGTAGCGTTCATCTGCAGCACTAATGCAGCACTATTGCAGCACTAATGCAGCGCTCACCCGCAGCACTGATGCAGCACTAATGCAGCACTAATGCAGCGTTCATCTGCAGCACTATTGCAGTACTAATGCAGCGCTCACCTGCAGCACTAATGCAGCACTATTGCAGGACAAATGCAGTGCTCACCTGCAGCACTAATGCAACGTTCATCTGCAGCACTAATGCAGCACTAATTCAGGACTAATGCAGGACTAATGCAGTATTCATCTGCAGCACTAATGCAGCACTAATGCAGGACTAATGCAGCACTAATGCAGGACTAATGCAGGACTAATGCAGGACTAATGCAACACTAATGCAGGATTAATGCAGCACTAATTCAGGACTAATGCAGCGCTCACCTGCAGCACTAATGCAGGACTAATGCAGCACTAATGCAGGACTAATGCAGCACTAATGCAGGACTAATGCAACACTAATGCAGGATTAATGCAGCACTAATTCAGGACTAATGCAGCGCTCACCTGCAGCACTAATGCAGGACTAATGCAGCACTAATGCAGGACTAATGCAGTGCTCACCTGCAGCACTAATGCAGGACTAATGCAGCGCTCACCTGCAGCACTAATGCAGGACTAATGCAGCACTAATGCGGGACTAATGCAGCGCTCACCTGCAGCACTAATGCAGGACTAATGCAGCACTAATGCAGCACTAATGTAGAACTAATGCAGGACTAACGCAGCACTAATGCAGCGCTAATGCAGGACTAATGCAGTACTAACGCATCACTAATGCAGGACTAATGCAGCGCTCACCTGCAGCACTAATGCAGGACTAATGCAGCACTAATGCAACACTAATGCAGGACTAATGCAGCACTCACCTGCAGCACTAATGCAGGATTAATGCAGCACTAACGCAGGACTAATGCAGCGCTCACCTGCAGCACTAATGCAGGACTAATGCAGCGCTCACCTGCAGCTCTAATGCAGCACTAATGCGGGACAAATGCAGTGCTCACCTGCAGCACTAAGGTAGCACTAATGCAGGACTAATGCAGCGCTCACCTGCAGCACTAATGCAGGACTAATGCAGCACTAATGCAGCACTAATGTAAAACTAATGTAGAACTAATGCAGGACTAATGCAGCACTAATGCAGCGTTCATCTGCAGCACTAATCCAGCGTTCATCTGCAGCACTATTGCAGGACTAATGCAGGACTAATGCAGCACTCACCTGCAGGACTAATGCAGCACTCACCTGCAGCACTAATGCAGAGTTCATCTGCAGCACTAATGCAGAGTTCATCTGCAGAACTAATGCAGGACTAATGCAGGACTAATGCAGCGTTCATCTGCAGTACTAATGCAGCACTAATGCAGCGTTCATCTGCAGCACTAATGCAGGACTAATGCAGCGTTCATCTGCAGCACTAATGCAGGACTAATGCAGCACTAATGTAGCGCTCACCTGCAGCACTAATGCAGCACTATTGCAGGACTAATGCAGCGCTCACCTGCAGCACTAATGCAGCACTAATGCAGCGTTCATCTGCAGCACTAATGCAGGACTAATGCAGGGTTCATCTGCAGCACTAATGCAGCACTAATGTAGCGTTCATCTGCAGCACTAATGCAGCATTCATCTGCAGCACTATTGCAGGACTAATGCAGCACTAATGTAGCGTTCATCTGCAGCACTAATGCAGCACTATTGCAGCACTAATGCAGCGCTCACCCGCAGCACTGATGCAGCACTAATGCACCACTAATGCAGCGTTCATCTGCAGCACTATTGCAGTACTAATGCAGCGCTCACCTGCAGCACTAATGCAGCACTATTGCAGGACAAATGCAGTGCTCACCTGCAGCACTAATGCAACGTTCATCTGCAGCACTAATGCAGCACTAATTCAGGACTAATGCAGGACTAATGCAGTATTCATCTGCAGCACTAATGCAGCACTAATGCAGGACTAATGCAGCACTAATGCAGGACTAATGCAGGACTAATGCAGGACTAATGCAACACTAATGCAGGATTAATGCAGCACTAATGCAGGACTAATGCAGCACTAATTCAGGACTAATGCAGCGCTCACCTGCAGCACTAATGCAGGACTAATGCAGCACTAATGCAGGACTAATGCAGCACTAATGCAGGACTAATGCAACACTAATCCAGGATTAATGCAGCACTAATTCAGGACTAATGCAGCGCTCACCTGCAGCACTAATGCAGGACTAATGCAGCACTAATGCAGGACTAATGCAGTGTTCATCTGCAGCACTAATGCAGTGTTCATCTGCAGCACTAATGCAGCACTAATGCAGTGTTCACCTCCAGCACTAATGTAGTGTTCACCTGCAGTACATCTCCGAGATCGGCCGTGCTGATGTCCGGGTCGTCGGTGGTGTTGAAGGGAACAGGTGTGATTCTGAGGAACGTGATCACGCGTGGTTCAGGATATCGCCACAGCATCACGCCTGAAGACTCCTCCGTCTCCCTCCAGAACACCACCTCATGAGGAAACGGCAGCTTCTGGCACGCTGAGAGATGGGCAGACAGATGTCACCACACACACTTATGAAAGTTTATGAAGCTGTAACACATGTGTGCGTGTGATACCTGAGTCCTGGATGTACTGGAAGAGGCCTGTGCGCAGGTCATCAGATGAGTGTTCTGATTGGGCAGGGCGAGGGGTGAGCGGGGGAGTAGAGAGGAGGGGCTTATCGCTAGACTCCGCCTCCGTTCTGCTAATCTGACTCCAGTAGTTCTGCAGCTCCTCTTGAATCTCAGACAAACAGTTAAACTGCTGCTGCCCCCAAAACACCTGTGACAGACAGACAGACGACAGACAGACAGACAGATGACAGACAGATGTACAGAAAGTTTTCTGTGAGGTTTAGTGTGTGGGTTAGGTTTATGTAACAGAATTTATAACTAGCTGTATATAAAAACAATACAAGTCTATGCAATTTCTCCAGTTAGATAGCTACGTAGGTGTATGTGTGTGTGTGTGTTTGTGTGTGAGTGCTTGGCCTGAATCCGCTGGAATCTCTGACTCAAAATGATTCTGACTAATGGTCTCTGACTAACAGTGAACAGGAACATTAGGGGATTTCTGCGTGTTCAGCGGCCACACTCAGAGTTTACGGAGACGAGCACATGTTGTGTTCAACAGAACGGCATGCAGGACACACACTTGTGGAGAGTGAGAGGACATGCAAACAGAAGCATGTGTCCTGTTACCTGCAGCAGTCCTCCCTTCATGTCAATCAGCACTCTCGGGGGTCCAGGTGAATCGGGGGCGGAGCTTCCGCTGTGTCTGCACCAATGAGCCTCCAGATCCCCACTGCAGGAAAATGGTCCCACAAACACAGAGCTTCGGTCCTTCAGACCCGTTCGCACCAACACGTCCTCACACTGAACCGACAGACTGACCTCCTTAAACCCGTCTGGAGAGAGAACAGCGACAGACAGAGATCACACTCACAGATCTGTGTTCGCTGACCCTAACTCTGAAGGAGACTTAAAGCAGCACAATCAGACAGGGATCATGTGTTTGCGACTGCTGTCCTTCACGTGAGTGTGTATCTGCTGTTCGTGACCAGGTGTCTGAGTGTGTATCTGCTGTTGGTGACCTGGTGTCTGAGTGTGTATCTGCTGTTCGTGACCGGGTTTCTGAGTGTGTATCTGCTGTTGGTGACCAGGTGTCTGAGTGTGTATCTGCTGTTGGTGACCAGGTGTCTGAGTGTGTATCTGCTGTTGGTGACCAGGTGTCTGAGTGTGTATCTGCTGTTCGTGACCAGGTGTCTGAGTGTGTATCTGCTGTTGGTGACCAGGTGTCTGAGTGTGTATCTGCTGTTGGTGACCAGGTGTCTGAGTGTGTATCTGCTGTTGGTGACCAGGTGTCTGAGTGTGAATCTGCTGTTCGTGACCAGGTGTCTGAGTGTGTATCTGCTGTTGGTGACCAGGTGTCTGAGTGTGTATCTGCTGTTCGTGACCAGGTGTCTGAGTGTGTATCTGCTGTTCGTGACCAGGTGTCTGAGTGTGTATCTGCTGTTCGTGACCAGGTGTCTGAGTGTGAATCTGCTGTTCGTGACCAGGTGTCTGAGTGTGTATCTGCTGTTGGTGACCAGGTGTCTGAGTGTGTATCTGCTGTTGGTGACCAGGTGTCTGAGTGTGTATCTGCTGTTGGTGACCAGGTGTCTGAGTGTGTATCTGCTGTTGGTGACCAGGTGTCTGAGTGTGTATCTGCTGTTGGTGACCAGGTGTCTGAGTGTGTATCTGCTGTTGGTGACCAGGTGTCTGAGTGTGTATCTGCTGTTGGTGACCAGGTGTCTGAGTGTGTATCTGCTGTTCGTGACCAGGTGTCTGAGTGTGTATCTGCTGTTCGTGACCAGGTGTCTGAGTGTGAATCTGCTGTTCGTGACCAGGTGTCTGATTGTGTATCTGCTGTTGGTGACCAGGTGTCTGAGTGTGTATCTGCTGTTCGTGACCAGGTGTCTGAGTGTGTATCTGCTGTTCGCGACCAGGTGTCTGAGTGTGTATCTGCTGTTCGTGCCCAGGTGTCTGAGTGTGTATCTGCTGTTGGTGACCAGGTGTCTGAGTGTGTATCTGCTGTTGGTGACCAGGTGTCTGAGTGTGTATCTGCTGTTCGTGACCAGGTGTCTGAGTGTGTATCTGCTGTTCGCGACCAGGTGTCTGAGTGTGTATCTGCTGTTCGTGCCCAGGTGTCTGAGTGTGTATCTGCTGTTGGTGACCAGGTGTCTGAGTGTGTATCTGCTGTTGGTGACCAGGTGTCTGAGTGTGTATCTGCTGTTCGTGACCAGGTGTCTGAGTGTGAATCTGCTGTTCGTGACCAGGTGTCTGAGTGTGTATCTGCTGTTGGTGACCAGGTGTCTGACTGTGTATCTGCTGTTGGTGACCAGGTGTCTGAGTGTGTATCTGCTGTTCGTGACCAGGTGTCTGAGTGTGTATCTGCTGTTGGTGACCAGGTGTCTGACTGTGTATCTGCTGTTGGTGACCAGGTGTCTGAGTGTGTATCTGCTGTTCGTGACCAGGTGTCTGAGTGTGTATCTGCTGTTCGTGACCAGGTGTCTGAGTGTGTATCTGCTGTTGGTGACCAGGTGTCTGAGTGTGTATCTGCTGTTCGTGACCAGGTGTCTGAGTGTGTATCTGCTGTTGGTGACCAGGTGTCTGAGTGTGTATCTGCTGTTGGTGACCAGGTGTCTGAGTGTGAATCTGCTGTTCGTGACCAGGTGTCTGAGTGTGTATCTGCTGTTGGTGACCAGGTGTCTGAGTGTGTATCTGCTGTTCGTGACCAGGTGTCTGAGTGTGTATCTGCTGTTCGTGACCAGGTGTCTGAGTGTGTATCTGCTGTTCGTGACCAGGTGTCTGAGTGTGTATCTGCTGTTGGTGACCAGGTGTCTGAGTGTGTATCTGCTGTTGGTGACCAGGTGTCTGAGTGTGTATCTGCTGTTCGTGACCAGGTGTCTGAGTGTGTATCTGCTGTTCGTGACCAGGTGTCTGAGTGTGTATCTGCTGTTCATGACCAGGTGTCTGAGTGTGTATCTGCTGTTGGTGACCAGGTGTCTGAGTGTGTATCTGCTGTTCGTGCCCAGGTGTCTGAGTGTGTATCTGCTGTTCGTGACCAGGTGTCTGAGTGTGAATCTGCTGTTCGTGACCAGGTGTCTGAGTGTGTATCTGCTGTTGGTGACCAGGTGTCTGAGTGTGTATCTGCTGTTCGTGACCAGGTGTCTGAGTGTGTATCTGCTGTTGGTGACCAGGTGTCTGAGTGTGTATCTGCTGTTCGTGACCAGGTGTCTGAGTGTGTATCTGCTGTTGGTGACCAGGTGTCTGAGTGTGTATCTGCTGTTGGTGACCAGGTGTCTGAGTGTGTATCTGCTGTTGGTGACCAGGTGTCTGAGTGTGTATCTGCTGTTTGTGACCAGGTGTCTGAGTGTGTATCTGCTGTTGGTGACCAGGTGTCTGAGTGTGTATCTGCTGTTCGTGACCAGGTGTCTGAGTGTGTATCTGCTGTTGGTGACCAGGTGTCTGAGTGTGTATCTGCTGTTGGTGACCAGGTGTCTGAGTGTGAATCTGCTGTTCCTGACCAGGTGTCTGAGTGTGTATCTGCTGTTGGTGACCAGGTGTCTGAGTGTGTATCTGCTGTTGGTGACCAGGTGTCTGAGTGTGTATCTGCTGTTGGTGACCAGGTGTCTGAGTGTGTATCTGCTGTTGGTGACCAGGTGTCTGAGTGTGTATCTGCTGTTGGTGACCAGGTGTCTGAGTGTGTATCTGCTGTTCGTGACCAGGTGTCTGAGTGTGTATCTGCTGTTCGTGACCAGGTGTCTGAGTGTGTATCTGCTGTTCGTGACCAGGTGTCTGAGTGTGTATCTGCTGTTCGTGACCAGGTGTCTGAGTGTGTATCTGCTGTTCGTGACCAGGTGTCTGAGTGTGTATCTGCTGTTGGTAACCAGGTGTCTGAGTGTGTATCTGCTGTTCGTGACCAGGTGTCTGAGTGTGTATCTGCTGTTCGTGACCAGGTGTCTGAGTGTGTATCTGCTGTTCGTGACCAGGTGTCTGAGTGTGTATCTGCTGTTCATGACCAGGTGTCTGAGTGTGTATCTGCTGTTGGTGACCAGGTGTCTGAGTGTGTATCTGCTGTTCGTGCCCAGGTGTCTGAGTGTGTATCTGCTGTTCGTGCCCAGGTGTCTGAGTGTGTATCTGCTGTTCGTGACCAGGTGTCTGAGTGTGTATCTGCTGTTGGTGACCAGGTGTCTGAGTGTGTATCTGCTGTTCGCAACCAGGTGTCTGAGTGTGAATCTGCTGTTCGTGACCAGGTGTCTGAGTGTGAATCTGCTGTTCGTGACCAGGTGTCTGAGTGTGAATCTGCTGTTGGTGACCAGGTGTCTGATTGTGTATCTGCTGTTGGTGACCAGGTGTCTGAGTGTGTATCTGCTGTTCGTGACCAGGTGTCTGAGTGTGTATCTGCTGTTGGTGACCAGGTGTCTGAGTGTGTATCTGCTGTTCGTGACCAGGTGTCTGAGTGTGTATCTGCTGTTGGTGACCAGGTGTCTGAGTGTGTATCTGCTGTTCGTGACCAGGTGTCTGAGTGTGTATCTGCTGTTCATGACCAGGTGTCTGAGTGTGTATCTGCTGTTGGTGACCAGGTGTCTGAGTGTGTATCTGCTGTTCGTGACCAGGTGTCTGAGTGTGTATCTGCTGTTCGTGACCAGGTGTCTGAGTGTGTATCTGCTGTTCGTGACCAGGTGTCTGAGTGTGTATCTGCTGTTGGTGACCAGGTGTCTGAGTGTGTATCTGCTGTTGGTGACCAGGTGTCTGAGTGTGTATCTGCTGTTCGTGACCAGGTGTCTGAGTGTGTATCTGCTGTTGGTGCCCAGGTGTCTGAGTGTGTATCTGCTGTTGGTCCCCAGGTGTCTGAGTGTGTATCTGCTGTTCATGCCCAGGTGTCTGAGTGTGTATCTGCTGTTGGTGACCAGGTGTCTGAGTGTGTATCTGCTGTTGGTGACCAGGTGTCTGAGTGTGAATCTGCTGTTCGTGACCAGGTGTCTGAGTGTGTATCTGCTGTTCGTGACCAGGTGTCTGAGTGTGTATCTGCTGTTGGTGACCAGGTGTCTGACTGTGTATCTGCTGTTGGTGACCAGGTGTCTGAGTGTGTATCTGCTGTTCGTGACCAGGTGTCTGAGTGTGTATCTGCTGTTCGTGACCAGGTGTCTGAGTGTGTATCTGCTGTTGGTGACCAGGTGTCTGAGTGTGTATCTGCTGTTGGTGACCAGGTGTCTGAGTGTGAATCTGCTGTTCGTGACCAGGTGTCTGAGTGTGTATCTGCTGTTCGTGACCAGGTGTCTGAGTGTGTATCTGCTGTTCGTGCCCAGGTGTCTGAGTGTGTATCTGCTGTTGGTGACCAGGTGTCTGAGTGTGAATCTGCTGTTGGTGACCAGGTGTCTGAGTGTGTATCTGCTGTTGGTGACCAGGTGTCTGAGTGTGTATCTGCTGTTGGTGACCAGGTGTCTGAGTGTGTATCTGCTGTTGGTGACCAGGTGTCTGAGTGTGTATCTGCTGTTCGTGCCCAGGTGTCTGAGTGTGTATCTGCTGTTGGTGACCAGGTGTCTGAGTGTGAATCTGCTGTTGGTGACCAGGTGTCTGAGTGTGTATCTGCTGTTGGTGACCAGGTGTCTGAGTGTGTATCTGCTGTTGGTGACCAGGTGTCTGAGTGTGTATCTGCTGTTGGTGACCAGGTGTCTGAGTGTGTATCTGCTGTTGGTGACCAGGTGTCTGAGTGTGTATCTGCTGTTCGTGCCCAGGTGTCTGAGTGTGTATCTGCTGTTCGTGCCCAGGTGTCTGAGTGTGAATCTGCTGTTGGTGACCAGGTGTCTGAGTGTGTATCTGCTGTTGGTGACCAGGTGTCTGAGTGTGTATTTGCTGTTCG